CAGAGAATCAGACCAAATTTCTGTAGGCGCGCTTGATCAAGCGCGGATCGATGTCCATTTGATCAACTGTACTCTTGAACAGGATGTCTGCCGCGCTACCCCCGTCTATCAGTAGACGGTGGATTTTGCAGGCGGCCACCAGAGCGGTGATGGTGAGAGGGTCTTCGGACGGGATTCCTTGCGGTAATTCGGTGTCGTCGAAGCTGAATTGGCACCTTGTTTGAGGGTCTGCCGACGCACACTCCAATGCGCGTTCGCGCTTGGTTTTCTTTTTCGGACGATCTTCCTCTACTGTCACCACCCCTATTTCCTTGCGCACCACGTATGCGCCAGTAGCCTCGTTGTAGTCAGCTTGCGGGGATGGTGGTGGGTTTACTGACTGCTCGCGTTGGACCTCCGCTCCACGGATAAACTCCGTGAGTAACCCTCTTCGAATGAGGCCTTCGATTTCGTATCGTAACTCCCTGCAATCTTCCATCCAGTGGCCCGTTTCTCTGTGGAAGTCGCAATGCTTTTTTGGGTCACGCATGTGCAGCGGAGCCTTCAGGGGCGCGGGCCAATTGATCTTGTAACCTTTTTCCCGGAGAACGTGAAACACGTTCTTTACTGACTCGTTGAGCGGCGTATAGGCGTTTGAAGGAAACCTGTCAGGTGATCGTCCCCGGCGAGCTTGTTCCGGTGGGGGCGGAGGGTGGCGCTTTGGGCCGCTGTGTAGCTGCGCCAATTGCTACCGCGGAACTGGTAGCTGTCTCCGTCCCTGCTCTTCTTGGGGCGGCTTCGCTGGTTTGAAGCGCCTGACAGACCCCGCGCCGAGCATTTCTTCCAGTGTGATTGCTTTCTCAATCTTCATCTCGAGCTCTGTTGATAGTGTGACGGACCTTTTCGCTAATGCTCTCTTGAGCTCCATGTTGGTGGTGGCTTCCATGAGGTGGTGGGCGGCGGTTTCGGGTGTGTGATCACGCACAGCCATTGCCACCCTCGACCATCTGGCGTAGAATGCTCGTAGGCTCTCCCCGCCCTTCTGCCTGATATCTATTACCGCCTTGAGGTGGAGAGGCCTTCTTTTCTGGGATGCGAACTTTGTTGTGAATAAGAGTATGAACTCTTCAAACGAACAGATGATTCCATTTGGGAGCCTATTATACCAATCCAGGCATATACCGGAGAACGTGGATGGGAAGGTTCTGCATAACGTCGCGTTGGAGTTTGTCTGGAGTTGCATCCGCAAGCAGAAGGTGCTCACGTGGTCTTCGGGATCAGTCGTACCGTTATATGTTGGGAGGGTGGGTGGCATTCCGCTCAGGTGTTCCACCATGATTTCCGCGCTTAGCGGTTGGTGGAGGGCCTTCTTGGGTGGGTTGGATCGGTATTGCGGGGACAGGTGTTGCTCCAAGAAGCTGAGGTCTGCCCTTCCTGGCAGCTTGTTCTGTTGTGCTTCACACGCAGGAGGCTCCGGCGCCGGATGTTGTGGCGGCAGGGCCGTCCCTGACACTTCTCCAGGCGCCTGTGGCGACGCGATTGGCGTCGCCTCTACTGTTGTCACGGCTTCCTTGCTCATCATGAGCGCTATGACTTGGCTCATTTGCTTCTGCATGTCGGCTATGACGTTATTTTGTTTCGCCATCAGCTGCCTCATTTCCTTGGCGGTCAACTCGGGCTCTTCTTCTTCGATAAGTACCGCGCTTAGGTCGCTGGTTTCCGCGAACGCTCTTGGGTTGGTCATTGCCTTGATAGGCGTTGCTTCGTCAGGTAAGTCGGGGTTATGATCTGCCATGAGTCGGTTCTCCTTTGTTTCTCTGCTTGGCCCCACGGTGGGCGCCAATTGTTTGAACCTAACTGAGTGTAGAGTGAGGTTCGGGGAAGGATGTGGGTCAAGAAGATCGAACAAAGGGGAAAGTCTATGATCTCACGAGAAACGGGGATTGAGGGAATGAGACTGAGAGAATGAGATCGAGACAATTCGAGTTTTAGAGAGAGAAGTTGATGTTCATAGAGATAGAATGTCCAAAATGCGATCCCCTCACCCACCGTAGTAAATGCCATATTTATAGGCTACATGGTGGTGGGTGAGTGGTTGACTCATATGAGGGTACAATGATGTGACTACAGACATACTAAGGATTTAGGCCATGCTTCTACCTAGGACGTGTCAGAGACTTATCTAGGGCTATGCTTAGGGCCCTGATGTGACTACCCCTCGGGGAGTGAGATGACGCTTTCCACATCCCTTTGGTCTGGTCCACACTATGATCTTTCCACATGCGCGTAGCTTGTTCCGCGCTCGAGCTTCTCGCGCCGAGACGTGGCGAACCACGCTGAGGTGTCGCGCTCGGGTCTTCGCGCGACCACGCTGGGGGGTCTTCGGTCGCGACGTGTTCCTTTGGCGCGGCTAGGTCTGAGTCATATGCCCAACAATATCTATCTTCATTGTTACTTTTATATTGGATTCAATTTAGTATACTTTTTCGTTTAGATAGATTTTTGTATGATGTTCCTGGATATAATATATCATTATATATGATGGTGCATGATATTAATTCCTCTCATTTTAGGTTCAAATTGATGCATTTTCCCCTTTACCGTTCCCTTTTATTGGTTAATAATTTTTATAATATTTTTCACTTTGAATATCGTGAGCAGAAGCTATACAAAACAATTTATGTTTTTCGCTTTCTCTTCTCTTGGTTCGATATTGTGTCCATATTCATTCTTATATTGATTATCAAATTAGTACTTTTTTGTTATTCTTCTGATGCAAGATATGATTTTATGTTTGATAATATAGATTTATTTTTTCAAGCATGTGGATGCTTGAGACTTCTCATTTGCCTCATAACTTACATTTTACAATGGCTCCAAACTTGGATGGGTTTCTATTCAACACATCAATTTTTAATGATGTAAAATTTATGAAACTAAGATGCATATTAATAAACAATGTAAGGTCTCATCTTCCCTCTTAAGCACTACATATCATTGTTTACTTGCCATTAAATCAAAGTCTTTCTAACTTGAGTAAGAGCTACAATGACTTTTATTGTTGTGGATTTCCCCCAAAATGTTAGGTATGCTGCTTTTAGTTTTTGCCTTCTTTTCGGTTTTATTTAGCGTTTTATGTGTTGCTCTATTAGTTGAACTTGCCAGCTAGAGATCTGCATACTTTATTTCATTATATCATTGAATACACTAAAGTCGATGAAACCATTACTATGTGAGTTAGTTTGTTTCTTTTTAAGGACACTCTAAATATTTACTTTGTTTCTTATATCATTGAAAACACTAAAGTCAATGAAAAATACAAAAAAAAAAAAATCCCGTATACTGAAGATTGATTATGCATGTATGATGTAAAACAACTCTTATCATTGTTCTTCTTAGACATTTTTATATAGATATGACTTTGTTTGCAAATATGTATTTATGTTAGTGTAGTTGGACGTTGTTTGCCATTTTTTAAACTTCATTAGTCAAATCCATTAAATAATTTCCTATATTATTCATGGAGAAATTAAATAGTTACTTCAATCACCAACAACATGAACCATAAAAAAAATATACATCAATATTTACTACACATATACATGAAAATCCAACTCTCCCGGCCAAGAGGCCGGGCCCTAATCTAGTATGTATAGATACTGTAAGAAATTGAGATAGAATGGGCCAAGAATGAGGCGAGGCGGGGCAGGGCAGGTCGGAAGTAGATACCCATGACCCGCCCCATGCTAATGCGGGTCGGGTAATACTCGCTCCATCGCGGGTCAGGGCGGGTAATACCCATGGGACAGGTTCAAATTGCCATCACTAGGTTATCTGATGCCACATAAAAATACTATTTCATACCTCTTTATTATGGCTAGAAATGTATGGTTTTCACATCTTTAGTGCGATTAAAACTTGCATTTGCTTAATATTCACTCAATGTGCCTTTTACTAGCTCTAGGATTGCTTTCACTATTTTGATGCACTTTTGGTTGTTTTGTGTTTTTAGGCCAAAACATATTTGTGGATCATCTTGTACGAGTAGGGGAACATCAAGGCCGTATTGTTGGGAGTCAAAAAGTGAGATTGAATCAAGCCCAGGAAATGACGTTAATTGTAGTCGACAAAAGCCAAAATAGCACCTTGGTCGCCGTTCTGAGGGTATCCAAAATTGAGCCTAGAATCACAAGAAATATGCCAAACGTGTTGGCCAAGCTGGAAGAAAACCAAAGGAGCTCAAAGAAATGTATTCTAGGCCGACTTTTCCTCCCATAAAATATGATGCATAAGTCTATATATAGACTCCCTAGGGGATAGAAGCTTGGTAGCCAGCGATAGGAGGTAGTAGAGGGTCGTTATTTTTGTCGACAGAGTGACTCATTTGTGTTAGACTACGTGGGTGGATGAGATTGAATATGACAATCCCTCACAATTGATCCTCAATCGATCAAATTGTGTCGACTTCCTCAAAGGAAACATCCATTGGGTCCACATTGTTCTCTATTAGACCTGATATTTGCTACGACACATAGTAGGAATGAACCTAGCAAGGATCAAGCAACTCATATTCTGTCAGGATCAATGTTGCGAGTCAAAGAAACTCTAGAAGAATCTTGTCTATGCAACACCTCATCCTCCTGTTTTCTTCATCATCCAGTTGTATAGATTTTCGTTTCCTGCAATGCCTTTTTGTTTTGAAAAACCAAGGAAAACGTCAACCCTGGAGGTATTGCAACCTCCACATTCTCGTTTTCAACCACATAGAATCCGCCCCTCACCACCTGAGTAAGCGGTTGTGAAAGACCATAGCAAATACGATCATAGTCTTCGAAACATGTAAATTTTAATACATGTACTACATGCGATCATTGCTTTAACTACATTCTTTACGACCTCCTCAACATCGACATCTTCCACGTCGACGACCAGATTTGGACCATCCAAACCAAAATCGTCAATGAAAAAGTTTTTTTTTATGACCTTCAATCGACATTGAATAAATTAGGGTTTAGAAGCACCTGTAGTCTTTTAGAGTTGAAGTTGTTGTGGATCCAGAATATTTCATCCTGTATCTTGATTTCATGAACACCTTTGACTTCGTCGTGAAGAATTGCTTCTCGAGGATTACCTCCCCAGCTCCTCTATTTTGAAAGCCGAAGATATGGCTTTGGGAAAAGATTACCTCCCCTGATCTTTTAAATAAGTTTTTTTATTAATTTGAAATAATAACGTAAATAAATGGTTGAGAAACATTTTTTTTTTTAAAATTATTACATTTGTCCTGATTTTCTTCCTGTGTCATTCATGTTAGCAATATACACAAACTCATTAATAGTCAACAATATTGATTGTCCAACTTTACATTCAACTCTCGAATTAGCCAAATTAGCTTTTATGAAGAATAATTTAGACCATAATAGATATATCTGAAAAAATTACCGTCCCACTAATCCTGAATCCTGATCGATGTAAGAGACCGTTTGGACCAATACTAACCCAATTTATTCGAGCTTACTGCTTAGGGCGGAGTCGATGGATCGGGCCACACAACGTGTTAGCACCCTAGCTCGATCCGGCTCTTATATATAATCAACCATTTCTCACTAACCAAGAGCGTTGCAGTTGCAGTCGACAGACAAACCCAACTCGTAAAATCTATACGCGCGCGCGACTGCCGCGTCTTGATGTTTTCTTTCCCTCTGCTGTTTTCTTTGCGTAAACTGGCAGTGGCGATGTGGGACAGTCGGCAATGGAAGAGTGGCCATGTTGCTGCACTGTGTCGAGCGACTGTTATCTTTGACCAGCAAAGGAGACAGGAAAGGGCAACACTGTCATTGCAAACGCGAAGGAGTTGTCAATCAATGCAAAAGCTTTCTTGCCAAACCAAATCATATTTTTGTTCCCTTCCCTTTCCTACTAAAATAAAAATAAAAATAAAATAAATCTCATTTTTATATTTGGTTTCCTTTTCAGCCCATTAACTTTATATCATGTCTTGTCTATCACATCAATCTTCCTTTTTTTCACCCTTCCTTCTGTACAGACTTTCTCCCTTCGTCTCTGTCTACAGTGAGAGAACCTATTTTTTCCATTTTTACAGAGACAACCTCACAAACATACTGCAATAATAAACTCCTCCATACCATATTAGTACTTCCTCCTGCCCATCCCAAAGATTAAATCGGAAAGATTAATGTTTTTTTCTAAACATAAAGAAAGATATATATACGTGGATGTCTATGGATGCAAGTAGAGATGACAATGGGTCGGGTTTTGCCAAACCCAAACCTATGGGTTTATCTGTGAAAAAAACCCGGGGTAAAACCCATTGGGTTTGAAAAACTCAAACCCAACTCAACCCGCTGGGTATCCGCGGGTTCATGGGTACCCACGGGTTTTTGTCGTAAAAAATTCACAATAACAAGTTCCTATCAAAATTAACGTCAAATATCAATCTCTCAATACAAATTATACATATATAAAACACCATTCTAGAAAATTCAAACAAATCACAAATTAACTATACAAATTGTTCAACACCAATCTAGAAAACTCAAGAAAATTGAAGCAAATCACTAATTATCCATAGATAACATGATTAATTGAAAGTTTTTTTCATTTCAATTAAGTTTTTCAATCTCCACTCGATGACATCAAATTCATTCTACATAACTAGAAAGAAAAAATTAGACATGTCTCCACAAACTTAATAAGATTAGTTGTTTAGATATTAAATATCCGAGAAAATTAATTATATGGGTGTGGGCGGGTACCCATGGGCCGGGTTTACCTAAACCCAAACCCAACCCGGTGAATAATGAAGGGTTTAAACCCAAACCCGGCCCAAAACCCGTCAACACGGATATTACCCGCGTTGACCGGGCTGGGTCGGATGGGTACCCGTGGGTTCGGGTTTTATTGTCATCCCTAGATGCAAGAGCACTTCTACATGCTATAAAATATTGGTGCTTTAATTTACAATTTAAAATTGTAACATAACGTTAAATATAAAAGTTCAAGTTGTTGGGACATGTCGCAATGTGATGTGATGTGATGTTTGTACGACGGAGTTTGAATGAAGATGCTCACTGTGTGGCAAGGAAAGCTCTATCTTTATACCCAGTTGGGTTTTCTTCTTTTGATTTCGATAGGTGGGTCACAGAGAACTGTATCTGTATGTGAACCTCCTGTGCTATCGTTGGTTGCTCGTGTATTCGAGTTTCTATTGGAAAAAATACTAGCTTTATACAAAGCTCATGATGCGACCATACCATATCATACCACCATAATAATAAATAAAAAAGATTATATAATATGACATGACGTAGCAGAGGTTATTTTTTTAAAAAAATCAAGTCATTCCTCAACACATTGGCAAAATAAATAAAGAATTTACAGTTAGGGGTGACAATTATCCACTCATGGGTAATTATACCAAACTCAAATAGACTCATTGATAATTGGAAGAGTATGGGTGAAGTATATATGTTTTGGGGGTTTGTAAATGGGTTTGGGTGAGGTATGTATATTACTTCCATAATCTAAATGAGTATAAGCACTCATTTACTTGAGGGTATTTTAACAACACATACAAAAATAGGACCTATTTGTAAAACTTAAAAAGTTTAGGTATCAAAATATAAGGCTAAAAATGTAAATTTTCATCGATATTTTGAGGATTTATGTGAAAAAATAATTAAATTTTTTAGGTAATAAATTTGTAGATCTATTATTTTTAGGTACTAAACTGCAATTTGGACATGGGTAAAACCCAAATCCATATATTAAAAATCCAATCTAAATAAACTCTACTCATTTAACATCTATTTAGATTTCATATCCAACTCAATTATGTTGGATAGTTATGGGTAAAATTATCAATCCCTATTTACAATTTCCGTTAATCACCTGCCAGGCACGCCACGATTTACTTTGTAGTCGACACAATTCATTTTCCAGACACAGAAGGAAGCAGCATGCATATGTCTAGTCTATACCACAGGTCGTCAATGCGTTAATACTGATTGGTTTAATTATTTAAAACTTAACCAACACACTGTTTATGGAAAAGAACTTGTAACATACCTCTTTCACAGTCAAATCTCTTGTTCACCTTTCAAACTAGCTCGAACACTCGGAACTTAGAAATCAAACTAACAGTGTTTTTCTTTTGTTAGTTTACAGTGATAATGCACCTCCTGAAAAGATCACAAAGTAATGGAGCTAAATCAACAGTTATTTAAAAAGTGAATTTCCCATTTATGTGGTAATCAGATGGAACCTCAACATCAACTCAACATAAAATCTATGCATTGATTTACCATTTCTCAACAAGATGAGATTCCCAATTGATAAGGGGTTCAGTTAATAAATCGTCACCCAAGTAATCCACAAACACCCTGGCAAAATTAGAGTATCGTTTCGATGCGAGTTTGTTTAATAGAGGATACAGCAGGATCGACTGTAGGAGCTGAGACTTGAAGAAGAAGAAAGAAGGAGTGTCCTGCAGTCGATGAAGAAGGAAGCTGAGCATTGGTTTGACGAAACGGCAGCGTTCTGCCTCAATCCAGAAACGCAGCGATAGTAGCAGAACGGGGTCGTTTCCTTTAGTCAGTGGTTGTTTGCTTAAGTCTTCGGGTTAGACAAGTGGCAAACGTTTAGTGGCTAGTTTTGTATTTCAGTTTATAATTACTGTAGATTAGCCGTTAGTTCCTTGTACAGCGTTTAAACATTCAGTATATAATGGAAAAATGTGGAAAAGAAGATCTCAGATTCTTGAGCTCTCTTCACCAAAAACCCTAAGTTTTCTGTTTCTTCTCATGGTATCAGAGCCTGGTTGGCTCTAGAGCTTTTCGTTTCCATTTCGCAAATCTCAAGTTTCCACGATGTCTGGTGTTGATGAATTTGTTGCTGATGAAGTCGCTGCAACAAACGATGAAGTTCTTTCTGCAAATGATGAAACCCTACCTCGGACGCCGCCGCCGAGAAATCAACGTGTGAATGCTTTTGTTCCACCGATTATTCCTCATTATGACGACCCTTACCTGAATCCCTACTATCTTCCTGCTCACGATGGTGCTCTGACCACTCGATGAAACTCACGGATCAAAACTACAACCTCTGGAGTCAGGTAATGGAACTAGCTCTCAGTACTAAGAATAAGCTGCAATTTGTGAATGGGTCTATACCAGTTCCAGATCCAGGGGATCCCATATGGCAGTCTTGGCATCGATGTGATAGCACTGTTAGGTGCTGGATTTATAACTCTCTTTCTGAGGATATTGAACATAGTGTAGCTCCATATAGAATTGTTAAGGATGTTTGGGACAATCTTAAGGATCGTTTTAGTCAAGCTGACTACATCAGGGTGTATGAATTGAAGGAGCAGATAGGCAAATTGGTTCAAGGAGATCAGACAGTGACACAATATTACACTGCACTCACTACCAAATGGCAAGAGTACAAAATGTATCGACCTGTTACTTGTTGCCCTTGTGCAAATAGTCCTTTCTTTACCATTCAACGCTATGAAGAGCAAGATTTCATTATCAAATTTATGCAAGGTCTCAATGATGTCTATCAAACAGCTCGTACCCAAGTGCTAATGAACTCTCAGCTGCCTAGCATTGAGTCAGTTTTCAAACAAATGATTCAGTTAGAGAGACAGATGAAGGGGGTAGGAGCTGGTAAAGGACGAGTTAAATCCTTGGCTCTTCTTGCTGCTGGCCAACAAAGACCTGGACAGCAAGGATCAGGTGGTCACCAAGGACAGCAGAGAGCTGGACAACAAGGTCAGCCTAGTAAGAACCCCAGAGACTACACTCCTGAAGGGAAGAAGTGGTGTAGGTTTTGCAAGAAGGAATTTCACACAATTCAAGAGTGTTTCAAACTGAAGAACAAGCAGAACAGAGAAGGGGGAGGTGCTTCTTTTGCTGGTTCAGTGGAGTCAAACATGACTGATGGAGGAAGTTCCATTTCATCCGGTCATGGCAGGACTGATTCAGACTTGTCTCTAACAAGTCTGCTAACTGCTTCACAGTTTGAGAAGCTGAAGCTTATGTTGGGAAGTGGTTCACCCTCTCCTTCACCTTCTCCACCAACATCTCCTCATATGCAGCATTCAGCAGTTATGGCTGCAAGAGGAGGTCCT